AAGATGGCCCTCCTTTCCTGGAATCTGGTGATGGTGCCATTGTTGAGATGGTTCCTGGCAAGCCCGTGTGTGCTGAGAGCTTCTCTGACTATCCTCCTCTGGGTCATTTTGCTGTTCGTGACATGAGACAGTTGCCGTGGGTGTCATCGAAGCCGTGGACGAGTAGGAGCTGGAGCTGGCAAGGCCACCAAGCCAGAGAGCTCAGAGGCTGAACGAATGCCCCTAGTTCCTGCCGCCCAGTCTCCAGCAGTGGGGGGAAGGACGGTCTCAGCACTGTTGTCTCAATTGGCCTTTTGAGTTGAATAGTAAAAGCCTGGTTAATGATAACATGCATCGTAAAATTTTCAGAAGGAAAGGGAAATGTTTTGTGGACTGTTTGTCTGTGTGTGTGTGCGTGTGTGGCAGCTTTAAGTTATTAGATTTTAAAATCAGTACTTTGTAATGGAAACAACTTGACCTAAAATCTGTCATAGAATTTTGAGATCCATTAAGACAAAATTTAATGGGAAAAAAAAGAACAAGACTGATCGGCGTCTATGACCATGTGTCCACTAGGGAACAGTTTGCTTGTTCCCGTTCTACAGAGGACGAAAGGACATCTGAAAAGACAGAAGCCTGTACAAGGTCTTCCGGGGGCCCACTTGTCGGTGCAGTGTTCCTTTTGCAGGGAGGACAGGGAGATTAAGGAGCAGCTTTTTCTCTGTCTGCCTTTGAATTTCTCCAAGGACAGAGTAAAACATGAGAGAAACTTATTTCCTGACCTACTTCTGCTGTTGCAATCTGGGGGCCTTCGTCTCCCTGTTCATTTTCCCCTTTTGATATCAAATCTCTCTCTTTTTGGGTTGACAAGTGTTAACACAGGAAATTTTAAAAATCATTTGGGTTAAGTGAATCTGCAAGAGATAGATGATGTTTTATAGAACCACTTATTCTCTCTAGAATCAAGTTACTAGGGTAACAGGGTGGCTGAGATCATTGTTATATACTTAATATAGAGATTAAAGGTGCTGGGACCAGCAGATGGCATAATAATTATGTCGCCGAACTCCCACGTAGTCGACTGTGGTTCGAGTCCTGGACCCGGCGGCTTAAAATTCTCATCAGATGCACATACATGTGTGCCCAAGATCCCGGAAGGAGAATGGAGGAGAAGGGACTGTGGCACGACCATCCCCCCAGGGGGTGGCTCTCCCTTTCTGTCTTTCTGTCTCTCTCTCTCTGTCTCTGGTGAATACATACACTCTATAGCAAAAATCTCTCTAAAAAAAAAAAAAAGAAAGAAAGAAATTAAAGTTGATTACTGTATAGGTTGAATATCCCTGATTCAAAATGCTCGAAATGAGAAGTGTTTAGATTTTGGATCTTTATTTTCATTATTATTTTGGGATATTATCTCATATATAATGAGATATCTTAGGAATATCTAAATACAAACTTCATTTATGTTTCAAATACTTCTTTCTTTCTTTTTTTTTTGGAGAGGTTTTTGCTATAGGCACATGCACTCGCCAGAGAGACAGAGAGACAGAAAGCAAGAAATCACCCCCCTGGGGGGATGGTCACACCGCAATCCTTTCTCCTCCATTCTCCTCTCGGGATCTTGGGCGCACATGCACAGGCGCCTGGCATGAGTTTAAGCCACCGGGTCTGGGAGTCGAACCACAGTTGACTACATGGGAGTCCAGCGATGTAGCCATTACCCCATCTACTGGTCCCAAGAAGTTACGATTTAATGGTAATAATTCTACTTGGAATGATGAACAAGTTCCAAAATGAGGCAGTAATGGCTGCACAAAACTGCAAATGGATTTAAGGTCACTAATTGTACATTTAAAAATAATTCAAACAGGACTGCAGGTGGCATGATAATCAAGGTGCTGGACTCCCACATGGTCAATCATGGTGCAGGTCCTGGAGACAGTGACTTAAAACTCTCGACTTGGCTCATGAGCACATGGGCCAAAAATCCCAAGAGAAGAATGGAGGAGGAGAAGGGATTGCGGTGTGGCCATCTCCCCTGGGCAGTGACTTCTCGCTGTCTATCTGGTGAGCGCATGCACCCTAAAGCAAAAACCTCTCAAAAAAAAAAAAAAAA